GTGTTTGATTTCCATTTTAGGTTTTTTTCCTCTTTGTCCTTGCTGATTTTACTTCTTAAGTGTATAAAACATGAGTATAGTCCCCAGAGTTAAAACTATAAACTATTGTACCAAGAAGTGTCACTACCTGATCCTTCCCCTCATTGCTACCCATCCCTGTAGACAACCAATTACTTTGATCTATCCTTTCTGTGTTTCTTTTTATTAAAAAAAAAAAAAGCAGGTACATGAGTATTTTCTTATTTTCTCTCACAAAAGGTAGCAAACTAAGTATAGTCTTTTGGAATTTTCTTCTTTCATTTAATAGTATATTCTGTTTATCACTCCATGTTTGTAGTAATTTTCCTTATTTTTAACAGCTTCATAGTACTCCATTTGTGATGTCACAGTGAATTCAAACATTCTCCTGTGTTTGGGCATTTAGGTTGTTGTTTCCAGGATTTTACAGTTGCAGACAGTGCTGCAGCTAACAGCCTTACACAGACATATATTTGTATCATTAGGTATCATCAGGGAAGAAGAAAAGCTTTCACTTTTTAGCTGAGCAGTAATGAGTAAGTGATTTTATAATAATACTTCAGCTCCTATCTTCCCATCTACTGTGATGTTACAAATGTAGTTAAGGCTGTGGATGTGAAATAATTTATTGTACTTAGATTTCTGTCCGGGAAACCTTGAAATTAGAGAGCTGGAAGTGGCCTTGGAAGCGTTTTTCGTCTAGGTCCAGGTTCATTTTAAGCAACTGGCTATTCCTTTTACATACTGATCAGTGCATTTTACCACCGAGTACTCAGGCCCAGCTGTTCTAGTGCTTTTCTCTTTTAATTTAATTCATGTTGGGTTCCTTCCTGTCCTGCTGTTAACTGGCTGCTCCCTGGGGTTGTAGAATGGCAGTTGGATAAGACAGTTATACACAGGATAGAAACAAGGCTTTGGGCGTCCATTTTCCCTGGTAGGTCTGAGCACGTTATTTAGTAGCATAAACTCAGGGGCGCATCTTGGATTCTTAGATAATGCTGCTGGCCCTCTTAGGTGGTTGATGACTCCCAGTCTTTTGTCCCAGCAAATGGGCTTTGAGGTAGAGGGGGGCCTCCTCCTGCATTGCCGGATAACCAGACCAACACAGCTTCCCATCAGAAGGGCCATGAAAGGATTATGTATATGTTGAGATAATGATCCCCTCAACCTAGGGTTGCCTGGAGCCTCCAGGCAGGTCACTTCTGGCCCTGAGATGACGCTTCAATTTATGCACATGCTCTATACGGATGTTACCATTTTTTATGCATGTCCTGACATGGAAAAGGTTAGGAAAGTAGGCTAGAGCAACCTCAAATTAGCCTCTAAGAGCCAAGGACAGTGCCTCTTAGAGAAGAATTGACTTATTTAGAGTAGAAGGTTAAACCTACTGTCTGTAAAAATAAGCTGATCACCATATCTTAAATCTGGTGTGATTTGAGATCATTTCTGTTTACTTCTTTGCTAAAACAAAAGTTATAAATTGAAAAAAAAATTTTTTTTAATGTCTTGGCCTGAAACCCTGCTATATGGATGTTGCAATACCCAAGGTATATTTTGATTTTTTAGATCGGTGCGCATGATTTAATCTCTGTTCTGAATACCTCTCAGTTAGCTGTATTTCAGTATAGTTCTGACA